TTTTTTTTTTTTCTTTCTTTTTTTTTTTTTTGTGGAAGAGCAGTCGCTTAATGGGAGAATGGATCTGATCGAGCTGAGCGAGAAGCGGCAAGGTAAATGCTTTAAGTAGGATTTTTGCTGCCTTTATGCAGTGAAGCCTTTTTTGCCTTCAGTCATTTCGAGCGGCTTTGACGTTTGGTCGAAATTCCCTATTGTGCGTGCATTGAGCTCAGGCTCTCGGTTCCCTGCTGCCTGCCTGGGGGGCCAGTGTCAGATTCCCAGCTTTGCACCAGCTGCCACGGGAGATGCCTTGCAGTCCTGAGACTTGGTTGGAGGGTGCGTTTCTCCACCCCGGAGTTGTGCCGGCAGGATTGAAGCTCTGAGGCTGACCACGGAAAAAATGCCATCCTACTCCGAGAGCGCAGCGTTTGAGCCGGAATGACTTCTTGCTCCCCCCCACCACCAACGCACACAAGTGCACATATTATCTTCCCCAATGTTGTTCTTAGACAAGTAGAGGAAGCTTCAAGGAGACAGAAAGACTGCAAGAGAGCAAAGAAATCGGATTTATTTTTTGGCCGGATGAAATTCGGGTATTAAATCATTGACATAGGTCAATGGTAGGGGTTTCTTTCTTTCTTTTTCTTTCTGTCTCTTTTTTTTTTTTTGATCTTTCTTCCCCTCTCCCTCCCCCCCCCCCCCTTGGCTTTTAATCAGCTCGGGTGTCTTCTCCCCTAAAGGATGAAGAGCATTGACAGCCATCGCTGCTTATAATCAGCAACTCCAATGCTTGGAGTATTGGCGATGAGAGATTTCCATGAGACCTATTTAGCTCTCTCCACTTCTATTAGACTAGTTTTGCAAAACGTTGGGAATAAACGGTATGTCAGATACGGCTGAGACTCCGAAGATGCTCCTCAGGGTTTACATTTTTGACACCTTTGGGGTGAGTGGCAAAAACGTCCCCTTTTAACTCTTTCTCGGGGTTTGTGTGTGTGTGCGTGCGTGTGTGTTTGTGTGTGTGTCTGAGTGTGCGTGAGTGCAAGGAATGAAGACGTCTTTTCGCTAGTCATTTATGCTCTGTTGTATTCAACTCATTTGTGAGCTCATAAACCTCGACTGAGGAAGATTACTTGAGTAAAGGCGCAAAAACCAGCTGTTCCTAAAGAGAGCTGCTAGGTACATGCAATTGCGAGGTGGGTGTATTTCATTGCAATACAGGAAAAGTCCATCACCAGAGTCCTTTTGTGTGGGTGTGATTTTATTTTATTGTTTTTTAATAGCCATCTACCTATGTATTTACACCAACCCTCTAGGAAAGGGGTGATATAGAGGTTCCGTCAGGCTTCTTGGTGCTGAATGAAATCGCATTGCTGCCCACCGAACATTTCCCCTTGGATTCCCACCGAGACATTTCTAGCAATGGTTAAAAATAATCAAGGTAGCACCTTGGCTCTGTAAAAATAGGGAAAGACCTTAACAGTGCGCTGTTCACTGAAGAGGTACTGAAAGGAAGAAAGAGGGGGTTGGGTAATAGGTGAGGTGGGAAACCTCATAAAATGGTGCTTCTTTTCTCTTAAATTAGAACCGTGAAACTGAACTGACAGCCATTTTATGTATATTTATGGGGCTGGTCCTGAAAAAAAAAATCCGACGAAACACTGAAATGTGGCACATATGCATGGGAACAGAAGAGCTTCCAGTGTGACCTTATGCTTTAAAATACAGCAGACGTTTAACTCGCTAGGAGTTGCACATCAGCCTTTTAATCAGAATCAATGTCACCGAGTTTTACGGCCAGGGGAATAAGAAAGGACAGAGGGCTGAGTGATTCAAAGAAAAAAAAAAGCAACCCAACCCAAACCTAGCATCCTTTCCAAGCAAAATAAACAAGTGCAAAGTTTTGTGTCTGGTTTCTATTTCAAATCCTTAGCCTATCACCTTGTTTTCTCTTCTCTTCTTGCCCTCGTAGGAGATAAAATGTACGCTTGCTGCTCTACAGTAACTTTGGAACAGGACCTCAACAAAAAAATGCATATCTGGATGCTGCAGACGCTAGCGTTTGCTTTAACATCGCTAGTCCTCTCGTGGGCAGAGAGCATCGAGTATTATGGGGAAATCTGTGACAACGCGTGTCCTTGCGAGGAGAAGGACAGCATCCTCACGGTGAGCTGTGAAAACAGAGGGATCATCAGCCTCTTCGAGATCAGCCCCCCACGATTCCCCGTCTATCACCTCCTGTTGTCTGGGAACCTGCTGAACCGGCTCTACCCCAACCAGTTTGTCAATTATACCGGGGCCTCGATCTTGCACCTGGGGAGCAACGACATCCAGGACATCGAGACGGGGGCCTTCCACGGGCTGCGGGGCTTGAGGAGGCTGCACCTGAACAACAACAAGCTGGAACTTTTGCGGGATGACACTTTCCTGGGGCTGGAGAGTCTGGAGTACCTGCAAGTCGATTACAATTACATCAGCGTCATCGAGCCCAATGCTTTCAGCAAGCTGCATTTGCTGCAGGTGCTGATCCTCAACGACAACCTCCTCTCCGGCCTGCCCAACAACCTTTTCCGCTTTGTGCCCTTAACTCACCTGGACTTGAGGGGGAACCGCCTGAAGCTGCTGCCCTACGCGGGCCTCTTGCAGCACATGGACAAAGTGGTGGAGCTGCAGCTGGAGGAGAACCCCTGGAATTGCTCTTGCGAGTTGATCGCGCTCAAGGACTGGCTGGACAGCATCTCCTACTCGGCTCTAGTGGGAGACGTGGTGTGCGAGACCCCTTTCCGCTTGCACGGCCGGGACCTGGACGAGGTCTCCAAGCAGGAGCTTTGCCCCCGGAGGCTCATCTCGGATTACGAGATGAGGCCGCAGACGCCTCTGAGCACCACGGGCTATTTCCACACCACCCCGGCCTCGGTCAACTCCGTGGCCACCTCCTCCTCGGCAGTGTACAAGTCCCCCCTGAAGCCCCCCAAGGGCACCCGCCAGCCCAACAAGACCCGGGTGCGCCCCACGTCCCGCCTGCCCGCCAAAGACCTGGGCTACAGCAACTACGGCCCCAGCATTGCCTACCAGACCAAATCCCCGGTGCCTTTGGAGTGCCCCACCGCCTGCACCTGCAACCTGCAGATCTCCGACCTGGGCCTCAACGTCAACTGCCAGGAGAGGAAGATCGAGAGCATCTCGGAGCTGCAGCCCAAGCCCTACAACCCCAAGAAGATGTACCTGACCGAGAACTACATCGTGGTGGTGCGCAGGGCGGATTTCCTGGAGGCCACGGGCCTGGACCTGCTGCACCTGGGCAACAACCGCATCTCCGTCATCCAGGACCGGGCTTTCGGGGACCTGAGCAACCTGCGCCGGCTCTACCTGAACGGGAACCGCCTGGAGCGGCTGAGCCCGGAGCTCTTCCAGGGCCTACAGAGCCTGCAGTACCTCTTCCTGCAGTACAACGTGATCCGCGAGATCGCGCCGGGCACCTTCGCGCCCGTGCCCAACCTGCAGCTGCTCTTCCTCAACAACAACCTCCTGCGGGCGCTGCCCGCCAACCTCTTCTCGGGCCTCAGCCTGTACCGCCTCAGCCTGCGGAGCAACCACTTCGCCGCCCTGCCCGTGAGCGGGGTGCTGGACCAGCTGCGCTCCCTGCTGCAGATCGACCTGCACGAGAACCCCTGGGAGTGCACGTGCGACGCGCTGGGCATGAAGCTGTGGCTGGAGCAGCTGGGCAGCGGCGTGCTGGTGGAGCCGGTGCTGTGCGAGGCCCCCAAGCGCTTCGCGCAGAGCGACATGCGGGGCATCCGCGCCGAGCTGCTGTGCCCCGACTACTCGGACGTGGTGGTGTCCACCCCGACCCCGTCCTCGGCGCGGGGCCCGGCGCGGCCCACCCCCAGCCCCCCTTCCTCCTCCGCCGCCGCCGCCGCCGCCGCC